CAAAAGTCTTTGGCGACTGACGTTGGAGTTACTCGGCCCTCCGCCTCGGCTCGAGATGGACGCGGCGCTGCAGTGCTCTCTATCACGGTCCTGATGGTCGGACTCAACGCCAGGCCGAGTCAAACACCTTTCTACTATCTATTCTACTATTTGTTCTGTACAGAATATAACCTTCTCCTACTCTGGTTCTCCAAGACTTCTCTATCATCTCCTAAGGAACCGGGCCTGGAAGATCGCAGTCGTTAGGGTTAACCGGCGTAGCCTTAACAACAACTCCTTTGCGATAAGGCGACGAAACGAAAGCCTGCACGCATGAACGCTGTCTCTCTGGGCCGCGGGGAATCCTGCAACAAAGCCGCACTTCGGACCACGGCGCTCCCGCGGAAGGTCGTGCTCTCCGTAGTCAAATCTCTTTCTATCTATTCTTCGCTCCTCCGTGTGCACAATATACTGTTCCTACTACTCTGGCCTCTACTGACTTCTTCTCTTCTAAGTAACCATGGTCTGAAGATCGCATTTGCTAGGGTTTAACTTACGTAACCCCCTGCGATAAACCTATTAACTTGACGCTCTGCAATAGAGGCCCAAAATATTCCTTAGCCCTGACATCTCACACTCTCGCTCTTAATTCGTCGCTCCGCCATCAGTAAAGTCCCGTGATGCCCGAAAGCTCGCCAGTCCCTCTCATCCGCTCCCAGTCGAAATACATCAGTCTTTCAGTACCTCATTATCTTTTAAACTTAATATTTCCCGCTTTTGCGATTTCCCCCAATTACCACCGTTACATAGATTTATATGCTGCAAACTCTCTTTTCTTTAAAAACTGAGCGGCCTTTTAGGCTCTCCATTCGTATTTCATTTTCTTGACCATGCATACGCGCATTATAAACCTGGTTTTTAGTATAAACTAAGATTCGTGGCAAAATAAATATCTAGCGCGATTTGAACTTGCTGGGTTTACAATGGTCAACGGGTAAACGAAAACAAAGCATTGCAGCGTCAGGGGATACTTGCCACGGCTAAGGCATTCACCATATGGCGTTGTAGCGCCGGGACGACAGAATGAGGTCACGTGAGCGTGGACCCTTTCCACAGCCCCATTTTCTATTAGCTGATTCCATCTACGTTAGTTATTCCTGTTCTCTCTCTGTCTCGGAAGATAACTTCATTTACGAAAACGACAGCGGATTCCAGCTGTCTGTGGTCTATGATCACGCACAGCAAAAGAATCATGTCTTCGCCTTTGACAAAGCAAGAGTCCTTGCTCGAGCCAATGACGAAATGGCTAGACTGCTGCTGGAAAGTTGGTCTTCGACTGGCACATTCAACAGAGCCATAGACCTCCATCCCACCTACCGAGCATCGCGCACAAGGCTCGAGTCAGTTCGATCAAGGCCAACAGGAGAGCAAAATAAACTCGAGTGTGGAATAGAACCAGCTTCAGAGGCAAATAGGGGAGAAGCCGGCCAGGAACCACATCACCGCCGCGCTTACGAGGTTGAGATCAACTCCGGCGGACAGGAACAACCGATTACTTCGTCAGTCGACGGAGAGCTTGTCAGCCAGTAGGCTGACTTGCGACAGCCAAAAAGTGAGCAGAAGTCACATGAGCTCACCAGCGATCAAACTCACGGTCAATCAACAGCGAACAGGCAGGTCACAGGTCGTGCATCGAGCGCGGATCTAACAACAGGCACGCGGCAAGGCTGCAACAATCCCGGCGAACAGGAACAACCGCCCAGTTGCTCTGACGATGGAACC